AGATATATTTATATTTCACTGCTCACTTAAAGGAGCTGCCAAATACCGTAATCTTATCCAAAAGATAAAGCCACGCATAACAGTGGTGGAAGAAGCCGCTGAAGTACTGGAGTCGCATATCGTGACGTCACTGAGTTCCGGATGTCAGCATTTGATTTTGATTGGTGATCACCAACAGCTTCGCCCCAATCCAAACGTCTATGTTCACGCTAAGGACTACAATCTTGATATGTCACTTTTCGAAAGAATGGTAGGCTTGCTTTTGATTATTTTCTTAAAGGACGCACTAACAATGTCACGCAAATCGACAGTGAGTCACGCCATTAATACTTTGGGCCAGCGGTATACGTGATATTTAATTGGCTGAYATCAGCACCTTGATTTTGCGCGCAATGTCTTATTTATTTATATTTTATTGTTTTGCATTGCTGCTTATAATTAAATTTATTGAATATGTAATCCGCTAAAAAGTCCAGACAATTTGTGCACCCAACTCCATGTTGCAGCGCGAATATGGCGTTACTTAACTATTGCGTGACATTTCAAAATAGGATCCAAATAATTGACACAAACCATTGCTTTTCAGGTCCACAATGGCATKAAGTTTGAGAGGCTGCGCGCGCAGCATCGGATGCGCCCAGAGATTGCCCGGATGATGGCACCTATCTATGACGACCTGGAGAATCATGAATCTGTCTTGAACTTTGAGAACATCAAGGGTGTTAACAAMAACATCTTCTTCGTTGAACACAATGAATTAGAGGTAAATAAAATTATTTCCTTTGAATCTATATCTATAAGGAAGTTGGATGTTTAAAGAATTTTTGATGAGATTTATATTCATTTTTTTTACTGATATACCTCAATTTATCTGTTTTTTGTTTTTTTTATTTAAAAAAATCTTTGTTTCGTTTAAATGAAAAATATGAAGGGATTGCAATAGGCCAGTTTGTAGCTGAAAAATCGTTTCCAGTGCGCATACGATTTTATACCGACGTTCTCACCTTCTTTTGTCTTAACCGTCTTTTGCTCTTAAATTAAACAAAAAAAGGTAAGAATTTCGGGATAAAATCGCATGCGCATGCGCATGCGCACTGGAAACGATTCTTAATCTACGACTTGACCTATATTCGAAATTCAATCCTGGAATTTAGAATAATACAATGAACTTAAGTTTCATATCATAGTCCTTCTTAATCCCACTTGAAGTTTCTTGTACTTCTAACTATAATATTTCCTACAATTTTGAAATTGTTTATGTGCCAGGAATACATCGAAGAAGGCAGAAGCCGGTCAAACATCCACGAAGCCAAGTACTTGGCAGCCTTGTGTCGTTATTTTATCTTACAAGGCTATAAAAGACAACAGATCACCGTTCTCACAATGTACACTGGACAACTGATTCAACTGAAGAAAGAAATGCCCAGAGATTTTTTTCAGGGRGTCCGCATCTGCGCAGTAGATAACTTCCAGGGAGAAGAGAATGACATCATCTTGTTGTCTCTCGTTCGAAGCAACGARGAAGAGAAGATTGGATTCTTGAAAACCGCAAACCGCGTGTGCGTAGCGTTGTCGCGCGCCAAGAAAGGTTTCTACTGTATTGGGAACATCGATCTCATGTGCAAGCAAGGAAACCTGTGGGCTGATATTATCAGAGACATGCGAGATACAGGAAATGTAAGAGGTGTTTTGTGTGTGTGTGTGTGTGTGTGTGTGTAGGATTCTATATCTTGAATTATGATATAGCTAGATTATTATGCGCGCACGGTTCATCCAGATACAGGAAATGTAAGAGGCTTTTTGTGTGTGTGCGTGTAGGATTCTATATCTTGAATTATGATATAGCTAGATTATTATGCGCGCACGGTTCATCGAGATACAGGAAATGTAAGGGGTTCGTGTGTGTGTAGGATTTGATATCTTGAAATTCTGATTCGATGTTGGGGCTTTAAGTGGGATGATACTACATGTATGTACAAAAATATACTTACAGTTACCCTTGCTGTTATAAATACTCTGCTTTGCCACCCCCATAATGACACAGAAAGATTAGTTATCTAATTAATATGTAGCAACTGTTGTGTGCAACGTTGCACGAAACCATAAATAGACCTTTTCATGTATTTCCATTCCAAACCATGTGTCATTCTCTTGAGAATAAGATTCTCTGCTTGAGTTTTATCCATATTCATGTGTCTTCTCATGTGCAACCGTTAAACAAAGAAATGATACTCGAGGGAATGACACGTGGTCTGTAATGAAAAAGCATTACGTTAAATGTAAAGAAGTCTTATGAAAAGACGAATAGAATGCTTCGTTGTTTGAGTCATGAATTTACTCAGGAAAATAAGGCTATTCTTACTGCACTGTCTCACTGCGAAATATGCGCATAATGTTTTCACGAACCCATAGATTAAAACTACCTTATTGATTGTTTTAAGGTTGGTCCTGCTTTGACCCTCACGTGTCAAAACCACCCAAGAAACGTAATCCAAGCGATCACCTCAGATGACTTCCGCAAAGCACCAGAAGGAGGRTGCATGGAGCCATGCAGGACGAGGCTAGACTGTGGACACACATGCGAAATGGTTTGTCACCCTACTGACCCTCAACACATTGAGTACAAGTGTCGACAGAAATGCACAAAGTCTTTGTGTGATTTRGGTCACATGTGTAAGAGAATGTGCTTTCAAGAATGCGGTCCTTGCACGGTTCGTATTGATAAGCTTATGCCAAACTGTCTTCACATCCAGAAAGTRCCGTGTCACAAGGACCCGAAAGAATTTGCATGTAAAAGTCCGTGCCTGAAGAAACTACCATGCRGYCATCARTGCGCAAATCTTTGCTCAGAAAAATGCACCGAGAAATGCAAAGAAAAAGTCCAGAAGACATGGGATTGTGGCCACGTGAATGTAGTGGAATGTCACGTGGATTCTCGGGAAACAGAGTGTCGTGCGCCTTGTGGAGAGTTGCTGAAATGTGAACATCCATGCGCAGGTAGTGTAGTGTACTGTGAATCAGTGTGTTTCGTAAGTAGATGAATGTCAAAAGAGAGTCTTATATGGCTTCTATACAAGTCAAAAAGAACTAACTGATAAGCACCTTTCTTCCAATCGCAATGTTACGCATTCCAATGAATCCCGCTCTCGCTCTGGTTAATTGAGTTCAATTCTTCGATTCGAATTAAAATGATTTGAGTTTAGACTTTACAAGGTAATATCAGGATTATTTTAGTTCTAATATCTTAGGATACTGGTTCAGACTAAAAAGGATTTCCTGATATGTTTGTCCAAGTATAAAGTTGTAGAGAAGGAGTGAAGCGTGAGCCTTCTCCCGTAACCACTCCCCCCTCCCCCCGGGCTACAGATTTGTAGAAGAATTCATGACGCATATACAATTGATGAGTTACTCGCAAGTTTACAGTGTGACTTTGCGCCTTCAATATTAATAAATATATATACCAACAAACTTACGCGATTGTTACATTGACGTTTTTAGGATCCTGCAGCGGATGCCTTCACGGACGTCTCCATGAACCYTGCAAAGMAAAATGTGAYAGGACACTGTTTTGCGGCCACAGCTGYCCAGCGCCTTGTACCAAGAACTGCCCGCCCTGCAAAATGAAGTGCGAGAATGAATGCGTGCACAGTAAGTGTAAAAAGACGTGTGGCGAACAATGTAAACCCTGTAAGATGAGGTGCGCTTGGAAATGCRAGCATYATGAGTGYAAAAAACTGTGTGGCGARCCTTGTGACAGACCCAGATGTRAGCATCCTTGCAAGRAGACATTGAGGRAATGTGGCCACCCTTGTATTGGTATKTGCGGCGAGCCCTGCCCGAAGAAATGCCGAGTGTGCAACAAGGAAGAAGTCACTGCAATTCTATTTGGTGACGAAGATGAACCCGATGCCAGATTTGTAGAGCTGCAACCATGTGGTCACGTGATAGAAGTCAATGCATTGGACAATTGGATGGACAACTGTGAAAATGAAAGTATACAACTGAAAAGGTGAGGTTTATTTGTTGCTTTCTTCCTAATTATAAAAGAGTAATACGACTAACAAAATCGTGAAACTTAGTGAGTGTAGCGCAACATTGTTGCGTTGCAAGTTGCATAGARAATGTTGCTTCTATTACCACTACGCCACTCCACTCGCAACAGATTTTTATTGTTGCAGAGTGAAAGAGACAGAGCTCCTACTTTGTGCAACAAAATTGTGTTGGTTCTTGCAAGAGTGCTAATATGTGCAACATTTGCTCTTCAACTTGCAATGCAACAATGTTGCGCGACAAGTTGCACGATTTGATGGTCCATATTACCGCACTTTAGTACGAATTTAGCATGGAAAAAAATATTTTGAAACAAAGCAGCTATATCTTTAACTAGAGAAATACATACACGCCAGCTCGCTAAATCAAGCGTTTGTATGGGTAGATCTAGTATTGTTGCCAATGCATAGTGCGAATTTTACATGAGGCTGCAATCTAGTCGAGGATGATGCACCTTTTTCCTTTAAAACCTGATACTGYTTTTTGTCTTTCTCCATTTTTAAACCCATTTTGTCGCGAATACAATCTCTGCGCATGTAACTGGGAACGACTAGAACTCAAAAGTAAAATTGATTTCCCTTACTAAATATATAAATTTTTAATTTTTGCTACGAAACGTTAATACTCAGATGTCCGCGGTGCAAGACGCCTATCAGAACAAACCTACGATATGGTAACATCATCAAGACCATTCTAAATGACTTCGAGAATGTGAAAGCGAAACTCCTTGTTCCTGAATACAAGATAAGGCTAGAATCATCCAGGCTAAGGGTCCTTATTTCTCAAGAATTTCGAAAGGAATTCCCAGACGATGCTGATAAAATCACCAAGAGCATGGACACCAAGAGCTTGACAAGTGAACAGCTCAACATGTTTGAAAACCAAATTAATTTCATGAATCGCCTGAGCAAATTTGTGGTACAGATTGACAAGGATGTTAGGATGCAGAACTATAGTGATGGGCTTGCTGACATCCTTGCTCAAGAAGAAGCTGATTCATTGAAGGAAGAAGTGAATGCAGTCAAATCGAAAGTRATGAAGCTACGAAGGAGATTCAGTGACCAGGAACTGGAAGARATGAATGACGAAATACTGCGTCTTCAGTTGGTCATTTCCTATCGAATTTTGCTCATGCAAAAGAGAAGACAAAAAGTAAAGTTTAGCTCTGATGAGAAGGCTAAGTTGGACCGCATCCGTAAAATTATCGAATCTGAGAAACGCATAGGTAAGGTTTACTCTTTTTTCCTGTCCTGTACTATCCTTTAATCCCCTGTTCTGATCTCTCCCCTCTGTTTTCCTGTACTATCCTTTAATCTCCTGTACTATCCTTTAGTCTCCTCTCCTGTCCTTTCCTGTCCTTTCTAGTATCTATCTCTTGCTAATGAAACTGTCTAAATCAATAGATAATCAAACACGCGAACGTTGCATGGAAAAGATCGAAAGGATTCGTCGAACCCATCGTTTACGCTACGAACCCGTGACACAAGAAGAAAAAAGCATGATTGTTAAGGCCATAGRTTTGACACAAGGACACTGGTTTAAATGCCCAAACGGTGAGGATCAAATTGTTGCCTAGATCGATCTTCCATTTTTTTCTTCCGTGTCTATTTGACTATAGAGATTTTGCACCATCACGAGCCCACGCCAATAATGCAGCTTGGGCTGCCTGTGGTTAGATGGCAAAACAAGAAAATCCTTTTGCATTAAGAATTGAATCTTTCTCATGTGAAACGATCGTATTGTTGCTGCAATCTAACAAGGCTGCCGTCACGTGATGGTGCAAAACCTCTACTACACATTATTATTCATAGACTATTAAAATCAATTTTGTTTCATTAAAAAGATTATTGACGGGCAGTCTTATCGTTTTTGCATAGGTCACATCTACTGCATAGGGGAATGTGGCGGAGCTATGGAAGAAAGCACTTGTCCAGAATGTAAGTCAAAAATCGGGGGTAGGAACCACGCCTTAACWTCCGGCAACGCCTTGGCACCRGAGATGGATGGAGCCAGATATGCTKCCTGGTCTGATACTGCTAACAATATGATGAACTTCGATTTGGGTTTCTAAGAAAACGAATATGCATACAGTATTGGACTGTCCATGGTTCCGACTCTCCTTAGTTACCGTTGCTATGTCCCACAAGCTCAACAAATTATCTAGAATATCTTAGATTTTAAAACATCGATCGCGGAAAATTTATGATGAATTGTTTCAATCGTTTACTGTCCTGTGAAATGAAAAGAAATTGTCTCGTAACCCTTGTGGTACTCTTTAAAACAGGTGATGTGTTGTTGGTTGTGAGACCGGCAAGATTTTAATTCCATCAACTGTTTTAACAGTGATTAGTTCGTAACTGTCTGAGCCGGAACCATGAATTACTCGGGAAAAACCTTCAAATTTCATCGATATTATGAAATGGACTCTGGGCTGATTATTGTCGTGGCTAGGCTAACTCACAGATTGAATTGGAATTTAGCGTGACATAATTTAATTTTGCGAAGGGAGGAGAAACCGGAGAACACCGATAGGTATTTGATCCAGCACCAAAATGTATCTMTTAATTCGTTTATCACTGATATCTATCCCGATTTTGAAGGCTACAGTTAACTGGGYACTGTTGTACGAAGGGTGGATGGGTGGATAGCGATATCCGACGGATAAATCCTATCCAGTTGAATATATTAATTGATTCCCAAGAGAGTCAAAMGACAAAAACATGGCGGCCARCATGGCCGTGATGACGAAACGTGCAATCGAAGAATAGCTCTATCCACGCGGCTCTTCATACAACCGGGCCCARAGTTTCAAACAACAGTGTGAGCATGCGCATTAGCAACCACTGATTCATCGCAAAAAAAGTAGCGTAAATAGATTTTGTGTGCGCTTAGAGCGTACTAATGAATAAAGAATAAAAACAGCGAAAATAAGTGAAAATKAAAATGAATAAAAGAAGTTGCTGTAATAAAAAAGCATGTTATTTTATCATAACCTTAGACATTAATAATCTTGTAGTTAGTATATCCGTTTGTAATTTGAAACAATTAAATAGCACGTACTGTAGATTCGTCGGTGAACTGACAAGTTATTTTAGAGCACATGCAGTAAAACTATGAAATAMAAACAAATTTAATACTGACAAATATAGTAGCTTTTTAGTGACTTATAGTTGGTATCACTCAACCAGAACATTCATKWMACAAAGACCCAAATCACTAATATTTGTCATTATCWWCTGWTTYTATTTCATGGTTTTACTGCATGTGCTCTATGGAACAACACGMCACAGGAACCCCATCCGCGGCTAACGCGAGAGTTTCCTGGGGGTGGGGGAGTAGGCTATAGTAAACTTAGATTTTCAGTGTAAGTAATTTCAACATATTAACGCCATACTAAACATGCAGTGTGAAAAGATCTGCGAGATAATGCAGTTTAAGCAAAATAACACAAGTAGATATGTATGTTCGTTGTAAATAAAGGGAGCYACAAACCTTAGTTCCGTCGAATACTTGTTCTTTAAAGCTCTTTTCTTCACCTCCTCTTGTCTAATTTGAAGACTGGAGTACTAAGAATATCGAAGTGAAAAATACTGTCATCTTTTGAAACTCTGTGAAATGCTGAGGTTCATTCTATTCGTGTGTTTTCTACAGCTAAAATTATCTGCACTGCTCCAAAATATTTATTTACCTTCTTAGAAGCTTGAGGCAAGTCTGTCTTGGCTGTAGGCGTTTAACTCCATGTTCTAAGKCGCTTATTTGGACAGCAAATATCCCCTTAGAGTCCTGACGGGATTGAGAACCGTAGTTTGAAAGTAAAATCCCGACTGCATAAGCCTTATTACGACACACTATTCTCTGTCGCGCCTGAGGGMTGAACGCAAAGTCACGAAGTATTCACATCCGATCCACATTCAAYACACCTACATAATGAATACACGAGTCAGGTGTAAGGCGTACCAGGATGTGACGTATATCCGGGGCTATCAACCCAGAGCCTAGGAAAGCATAATTACATAAAAAAGAATTCCTGATCAGTTTATGTAATTATCTTTATTCTGCTTTCTACGGCCGCACGCGCCTTTCTTTTCTTTTCAGGTTAGCATTCTTTCTTTGGCGGGCTACCTGTGGCGTATGAATTAAAATGACCGAAGGAGACTGAGACCTAAAGAGCGATGGGGTTTATTCTCCATTA